CATCTAGCTACAGCAGACAAGAGTCCTTTGTCCCAACCTGGTCATTCCACAGATATATAAACCCTTTTTCCTAGTTCCAACAGACCCCACTACCACTGAGGATGCTTGCCATAGACGCAGGCGAAACGTCAGGAGAAATGCCTCTAGAACATGGCCATATAGCCCGAAAAAACCTACAACAACCCATTGTAATGTTCGTTTGTGGAATTAACATAACCCAAAAACCACTGGATGAATTGCTGCCAAATATGGCCACAAGACACCTACTAACCCATGGGGTGAGCATCACTCAAAAAAATTATTTTGTCATTTGGGATTTGTAGTTGCTGGGAATTATAGTTAACCTACAATCAAAGAGCATTCTGAACTCCACCAATGATGGAACCAAGCATAACACATAGGACTCCCCTGATGAACAGAAAACACTAGAGGTTTTGGTGGACATTGACCTTGACTTTGGGAGTTGCAGTTCACCTACATCCAGAGAGCACTGTGGACTCAAACAATGATGGATCTGGACCAAACTCTACACGAATACTCAGTATGCCCAAATAGGAACACAGATGGAGTTTGGGGGAAATAGACCTTGACATTTGGGAGTTGTGGTTACTGGGATTTATAGTTCACCTCCAATCAAAGAGCATTCTGAACTCCACCAATGACTGAACCAAACGTGGCACCCAGGACTCCCATGACCAGCAGAAAACACTAGAAGGGTTTGGTGGGCATTGACCATGAGTTTGGGAGTTGTAGTTACTGGGATTTATAGTTCACCTACAATCAAAGAGCATTCTGAATCCCACCAGCAATAGAATTGGGTAAACTTACCATACACAACTCCCATGACCAACAGAAAATACTTAAGGCTGTCCAGTCCAACTCCCTTCATCAGGGCAAGAAAACGTAAACAAAGCCCTCCCGACAATGCATTGAACTACATTACGTGAGTCTATACACTGATATATGTCTTGGATACATGGGATTCAAGGAAAATCATGGCAAATTAAGATGGAATCTATACAAAAGCTTGTACCAAAGTAGAAAAATAAAATCTATCCAAAATTATTAAAGATTTCAATAGGAAGGCCAACTGCAAACTAATATGCTTTTAGATGCATTGTAGTTTTTAGAACCCTGGTAGGCTGGGAGGTGATATAGAAATACCTTAAAGTTTCATTTGCATTGACAACGGCCTTTGCAGTCACCTGGGACCCTGCCTGGAGGCTTTCCTCTCCCGGCCTCTTTCCCCACTCAGACTTCCCGCTCCCCCTGAAATGCCTCTTGTGAATTTCCTGTGACACTTCCTCAAGTCCTCCAACGGATGTGGTCCTCTCACCCGCAGCAGCCCTACTTTGACAAAACGAAAAAGACTCTACTACGATTATTTGCTGTATTTTGGTCTAGCTAACAGCCAAGCATGAAAAGTCCGGTTGTGGCGCAGCTGGTTGGGAGTCAGCTGCATTAAAAACACTACTGACCAAAACATCATGAGTTAAAGCCAGCCCGGGTCGGAGTAAGCTCTCGAACATTTGTCTAGCTTGCTGTCAACCTTTGCAGCCCCAAAGACAGTTGGAATTGTGGAGGTTGAAGTCCAAAACACCTGGAGGGCTGAAGTTTGCCCGTGCCTGTGTAGATGCAACCCAAGATGATAAACACAACAATATAGGTGAGGCATATGGAAGTGAGTTGAGGGAGACAGAAAGACAGTTGCATCTATTAGGAATTGTGGGAGTTGAAGTCCAAAACACCTGGAGGGCCAAAGTTTGCCCGTGCCTGTGTATACGCACCCCAAGATGATAAACACAACAATATAGGTGAGGCATATGGAAGTGAGTTAGGGAGGGAAATGACTTACCCGTGCAAATGGACCCATTATCATCCTCTTCCGTGATGCACTCTGTCTCTGGCTTCCTCTTGGAAGACGACTGACTTTTTTGTATCTCAGGAACATCCACGTCTTCTTCTGGAAGGAAGTGCCTCCCCTGAAAGTAACGGAATTGCTTAAGGAGATACAAAGGGGAACTCAGAGATGGGGAAGGATTTGTTGGAACATGTAAGGAATCAGAGTGTGTGTGTATGTCAACTGTAAAATAAGATGCATGAAGCCAGTTGATGCCTGAGCCTGGGACTTTTGGTTACTGTTACATTTCTGTTCAGCCTTCAGCTATGCAGGTGCAATTCAATGCCTGGGGAAATGGCTGAGCCTGGGACTTTTGGTTACTGTTACATTTCTGTTCAGCCTTCAGCTATGCAGGTGCAATTCAATGCCCAGGGAGATGGCTGAGCCTGGGACTTTTGGTTACTGTTACATTTTTGTTCAGCCTTCAGCTATGCAGGTGCAATTCAATGCCCAGAGAGATGGCTGAGCCTGGGACCTTTGGTTACTGTTACATTTTTGTTCTGGCTTGAACTATGCAGGTGCAATTCAATGCCCGGGGAGATGGCTGAGCCTGGGACCTTTGGTTACTGTTACAGTTTTGTTCTGGCTTTAACTATGCAGGTGCAATTCGATGACCAGGGAGATGGCCGAGCCTGCGAATTTTGGTTACTGTTATCTATTTATTTACAGTATTTATATACCGCTTTTCTCACCCTAGGGGAACTCAGGCTTCAGCTATGCAGGTGCAATTCAAAGCCCTTGGAGATGGCTGAGCCTGGGACTTTTGGTTGCTGTTACATTTTTGTTCAGGCTTCAGCTATGCAGGTGCAATTCGATGCCCTTGGAGATGGCTGAGCCTGGGACTTTTGGTTACTATTACATTTTTGTTCAGGCTTCAGCTATGCAGGTGCAATTCAATGGCCGCAGAGATGGCTGAGCCTGGGACTTTTGATTACTATTACATTTTTGTTCAGGCTTCAGCTATGCTGGTGCAAAGAAAAGAAAAGAAAAGTAGAGAGAGACAGAATTTGGAGTTTGCTCTCACTTCATGAACTGCTGAAGCGGTTTATCCACATGGACAAATGAAAGACCATTTTTAAATCTCTCATAAAAGGACATTATGTGAGTTGGTGCAACTGATCATATTGTACATATGTTGTTCTGAACTAAGAAGAGGAAACTACTTGTTCTTTATTGTTTATCTGTGTGGGATATTTTCTTTCTCTGGCAAGGCAGTGTGAGGGCTGATCCAAAGTGAATTACACATCGTTTATTTTACATTATGCCACAGGATTGGGGTTTGGATATCCCTTTGCATTCTTGGATTATTTACATTGAATTGTGGGGCAATTATTGGGGATTTTTAAGCATAAGTGCCATCATGTTCTCACCTCTTTGAGACTGGGAGGAAACATGTTTTCCTGCATGGGATATTTTCTTTCTCTGGCAAGGCAGTGTGTGGGCCGATCAAACGTGAATTACACATGCTTTATTTTACATTACGCCACAGAATTGGGGTTTGGATATCCCTTTGCATTCTAGGATTATTTACACTGAATTGTGGGGTAATTATTGGGGATTTTTAAGCATAAGTGCCATCATGTTCTCACCTCTTTGAGACTGGGAGGAAAGATGTTTTCCTGCCGCTCTTCCTGCAGCGTCTTCTTCTTCTCCTCTTCTGCCCGACTCAGGAGGAATCCTTCCGCCAAAGCCACCGCCTGGGAACTGGTCTCCGGTTCACACTCCTTGACCCAGCTTTCCATCTCCGCAGGAAGGACGGCCAGGAACTGCTCCAGGATGACCAGGTCCAGGATCTGAGCCTTGGTGTGTTGCTTTGGCTTCAGCCACTGGCGGCAGAGAGCGTGGAGTTGGCCACACACCTCCCGAGGCTCCTTGGCTTCCCAGTAGTGGAAGTCCCGGAAGAGTCGACGCTGGGCCTCCGAACTGAGCGTTCCTTCATCACCGGCGTCATCCTGCGCAGTTCGGTCCCGCAATCTTCCCGCACTCTCGGTCTCGACGGCATTGTGGTCTTTTTCAGTTTCGGGTCCAAACGCATCTCGCTCCTCCATCGTTGATCCGGACTCTGAGGCAACTTGTCCCTCCCACAACGGTAAAGGCAAAGATCACTCAATATAATTGTGATATTAAGTTTCTGGAGATTTAAAAACAAAACCTTATGATTCAGCTCTTCATGATGCTCTTGATCCCTGGTTCCTAACATGGGGCATTTCTTATGGTTCTAGGGGCCTCTTATCTTCTTCTATGTCAGTGTTTCTCAACCTGAGGGTCAGGACCCCTAGGGGGGTCGTGAGGGGGTTTCAGAGGGGTCACCAAAGACCATCAGAAAACACAGTGTTTTCTGTCAGTCATGGGGATTCTGTGTGGGTATTTTGGCCCAATTCTATCATTGCTGGGGTTCAGAATGCTCTTTGATTGTAGGTGAACTATAAATCCCAGCAATGACAACTCCCAAATGTCAAGGTCTATTTTCCCTAAACTCCACCAGTGTTCCCATTTGGGCATATGGAGTATTTGTGCCAAGTTTGGCCCAGATCCTTCATTGTTTGAGTCCACAATGCTCTTTGGGTGTAGGTGAACTACAACTCCAAAACTCAAGGTCAATGCCCACCATACTCTCCCAGTGTCTTCTGTTGATCATGGGAGTTCTGTGGGCCAGGTTTGGTTCAATTCCATCGTTGGTGGAGTTCAGAATGCTCTTTGATTGTAGGTGAACTATAGATCCCAGCAATGACACCTCCCAAATGTCAAGGTCTATTTTCCCTAAACTCCACCAGTGTTCCCATTTTGGCATACTGAGTATTTGTGCCAAGTTTGGTCCAGATCCTTCATTGTTTGAGTCCACAGTGCTCTTTGGGTGTAGGTGAACTACAACTCCAAAACTCAAGGTCAGTGCCCACCAAACTCTCCCTGTATTTTCTGATTGTCGTGGGAGTTCTGTGGGCCAAGTTTGGTTCAATTCCATCGTTGGTGGAGTTCAGAATGCTCTTTGATTGTAGGTGAACTATAAATCCCAGCAACTACAACTCCCAAATGACAAAATCAACCCCCCAACCCCACCAGTATTCAAATTTGGGCAAATTGGTGCCAAATTTGGTCCAGTGAATGAAATTACACCCTACAGATCAGATATTTACATTATGATTCATAACAGTACCAAAATTACAGTTATTAAATAGCAACAAAAATAATATTATGGTTGGGGGGTCACCACAACATGAGGAAACGTGGCATTCGGAAGGTTGAGAACTACTGTTCTAGAGGGTTTGGTGATCTGTAAATGGGAATTCATGGGTGAAAATGGGCGTAAATGGGTGAAAACAATTAGGGGTGGAGGTGTGCAGGAGATGGGTTGCAGCTGGCTGTTATTGGATTTAAGGAGCTCACCTTGGGAGAGGAGGAAGACTGTAGCTGTCAGAATGCTCAATGGTCAAGGATGATGGACTATAATCAAACTAGATCTGGATGAAAAAAAGGGGCCCAGTGCCTTGGCTAAGAGTGATGGGCTATGTAGTCCAGGGGAAATTGGGAGAGGAGGAAGGCTCTAGCTGTCAGAAAACTCCATGGTCAAGGATGATGGACCATACTCATCAAACTAAATCTGGATGAAGATAAGGGGCCCAGTGCCATGGCAAAGTGTGATGGGCTATGTAGGCCAGGGGGAAATTGGGAGAGGAGGAAGGCTCTAGCTGTCAGAAAGCTCCATGGTCAAGGATGATGGACTATACTCATCAAACTACAGCTGAAGAGGCGCAGTGCCTAGGAGACTCCCTGGCTAAGGATGATGGGCTATATAGTCCAGGAGAAAATTGGGAGAGGAGGAAGGCTCTAGCTGTCAGAAAGCTTTATGGTCAAGGATGATGGACTATAGTCATCAAACTAGATCTGGATGAAAAGAAGGGGCCCAGTGCCTTGGCTAAGAGTGATGGGCTATGTAGTCCAGGGGAAATTGGGAGAGGAGGAAGGCTCTAGCTGTAAGAAAGCTTTATGGTCAAGGATGATGGACTATAGCCATCAAACTAGATCTGGATGAAGATAAGGGGCCCAGTGCCTTGGCAAAGGGTGATGGGCTATGTAGGCCAGGGGGAAATTGGGAGAGGAGGAAGGCTCTAGCTGTCAGAAAGCTCCATGGTCAAGGATGATGGACTATACTCATCAAACTACAGCTGAAGAGACACAGTGCCTCGGAGACTCCCTGGCTAAGGATGATGGGCTATATAGTCCAGGAGAAAATTGGGAGAGGAGGAAGGCTCTAGCTGTCAGAAAGCTCCATGGTCAAGGATGATGGAGTATAGTCACCAAACTAGATCTGGATGAAGAGAAGGAGCCCAGAGCCTGGAGGACCCCCTGGCTAAGAATGATGGGCTATGTAGTCCAGGGGAAATTGGGAGAGGAGAGAGTATCTAGCTGTAAGAAAGCTCTATGGTCAAGGATGATGGAGTACATCATGAAAGTAGATGTGGATGAAGAGAAGGGGCCCTGTCCCTTGGCTAAGGGTGATGGGCTATGTAGTTCAGGGGGGAATTGGGCGAGGAGAACTCTAGCTGTCAGAAAGCTCCATGGTCAAGGATGATGGACTATAGCCATCAAACTAGATCTGGATGAAGAGAAGGGACCCAGTGCCTTGAAGACTCCTTGGCTAAGGATGATGGGTTATGTAGTCCAGGGGAAAATTGGGAGAGGAGGAAGGCTCTAGCTGTCAGAAAGCTCTATGGTCAAGGATGATGGAGTATAGTCACCAAACTAGATGTGGATGAAGAGAAGGGACCCAGTGCCTTGAAGACTCCTTGGCTAAGGATGATGGGTTATGTAGTCCAGGGGAAAATTGGGAGAGGAGGAAGGCTCTAGCTGTCAGAAAGCTCTATGGTCAAGGATGATGGAGTATAGTCACCAAACTAGATGTGGATGAAGAGAAGGGACCCAGTACCTGGAGGACTCCCTGGCTAAGAATGATGGGCTATGTAGTCCAGGGGAAATTGGGAGAGGAGGGAGTATCTAGCTGTAAGAAAGCTCTATGGTCAAGGATGATGGAGTACATCATGAAAGTAGATGTGGATGAAGAGAAGGGGCCCAGTCCCTTGGCAAAGGGTGATGGGCTATGTAGTTCAGGGGGAAATTGGGAGAGGAGGAAAACTCTAGCTGTCGGAAAGCTCCATGGTCGAGGATGATGGACTCATCAAACTAGATCTGGATGAAGACATGAGGCCCAGTGCCTAGAAGACTTTGGCTAAGGATAATGGGCTATGTAGTCCAGGGCAAAAATTGGGAAAGGAGGAGGGCTCTAGCTGTCAGAAAGTTCCATGGTCAAGAATGACGGACTATAGCCATCAAACTAGATCTGGATCAAGAAAAGGAGCCCAGTGCCTGAAGATCTAGATGAAGCGAATGGGCCCACTGCCTAGGAGACTCTCTGGCTAAGGATGATGGGCTATGTAGTCCAAGGGAAAACTTGGAGAGGAGGAAGTCTCTACCTGTAAGAAAGGTTTATGGTCAAGGATTATGGACTGTAGTCATCAAACTAGATCTGATTGAAGAGAAGGGGCCCAGTGCCTTGGATAAGAGTGATGGGCTATGCAGTCCAGAGGGAAATTGGGAGAGAAGGAAGGCTAGCTGCCAGAAAGCTCCATGGTCAAGGATGATGGACTATAGTATCAAAGTAGATGTGGAAGAAGAGAAGGGACCCAGTGGCTGGAAGACTCCCTGGCTAAGGATGATGGGCTATGTAGTCCAGGGGAAAATTGGGAGAGGAGGAAGGCTCTAGCTGTCAGAAAGCTCCATGGTCAAGGATGATGGACTATAGCCATCAAACTAGATCTGGATGAAGATAAGGGACCCAGTGCCCAGAAGACTCTTTGGCTAAGAATGATGGGCTATGTAGTCTAGGGGAAAATTGGGAGAGGGGGAAGGCTCTAGCTGTCAGATAGCTCCATGGTCAAGGATGATGGACTATAGTCACCAAACTAGATCTGGATGAAGAAAAGGAGCCCAGTATCTAAAGATCTAGATGAAGCGAATGGGCCCACTGCCTAGGAGAATCTCTGGCTAAGGATGATGGACTATGTAGTCTAGGAGAAAATTGGGAGAGGAGGCAGTCTCTAGCTGTCAGAAAGCTCCATGGTCAAGGATGATGGACTATAGTCACCAAACTAGATCTGGATGAAGAAGAAGGGACCCAGTGCCTTGAAGACTCCTTGGCTAAGGATGATGGGTTATGTAGTCCAGGAGAAAACACGGTCCTTAAGTGGAGGATTGCTTTATCTCCCTCTCCCCCATCTTTTTGGGGTTTCCTAAAGGCACAAAAAAGGGGGGCAAACTCACCAGATTTTTTTTCCTGGACAGGAAAGGGTCTTCCTGTCAGGGATGATGGGTGTTGCAATCCGTCAGTCCAGGCTTGTTGTGTGTCTTTCTTTTGCTGCTCCTTCTTCTTCAATTCCCTTCTTCTTTTCCCTGCAGAGAGAGAGAGAGAGAGAGAAAAGCCCTCTCCTCCAGGCAAAGGGAGGGAGAGAAGGAGGGAGCAACAGAATGCAATGCAAAGCCTTGCAAAATGCAAAATATAATAATTTCCCTTTGTGCAAATGCAAGCCGCACCCAAACAGGGAGAGAAAGAAAATATATATATATTTCTTTTTTAAAAGGACACCACCCTCCCAACCCACCAGACCCGGATGCCGACTCAGACAGCCACTTCCTGTTCTCCTCCTCCTCCTTTTTGGGAGGAAAAAATAATAAATAAATACATATATTTAATATTAAAATATATATAAAATAAAGGTACTACAAGCCCCACAATCCGCTGCGGCGCCTGAGGATGCTGGGAGGTGTAGTCCAGCCTAGGACAAAGTCTCAAGCCTAGAGCATCCAGCCAGGGGAGTTAAAGTGGTATCAAACTGAGTTAAGTCTGCAGTGTAGATGCACCCAGGGAGGAAAGCATTGCAGCTTTCCAAGAAACTGGGGAATTCTCAGATTGCAAGTTGAGTCTATCATGCAGTTTGCTTTCAAGGCACACAAACTCTTGTTTCTGTATCAAATCCACATTCTGTGTCTGTTTGTTGCCTTTTCACCTTTCTTACTTGTGTTTCAGTATCTGTATTTTATAACAAGTATCTTTTAATATATACTTTT